CACCTCAGAGTATTGTGTCACCCTTGCTGAGAATCACTGCTTTATCTTAATTTGTATCCAAAAAATATTATTTTCCTGTAATAAACACAAATAGAACTTTTTGTACTGTTTCTCACATGTATTATTAAAAGTGATTAGTGGTTCTGAGTGCCTCAGATTTTGACTGCCAAACTTGAGATGTTAAGGGGACAGGTTTCACAGAGTGACTGCTTTAGGCTTCCAGATTGGAATATAGAAAGACTTAGCATCAATAATCATTTCATAACTTGTCCTATATTTTTACATAAGGACAACTTTTTCCAAAATTCAAGGCAATAGTAAAATGTCCTCAGTTTTTGATACAGGGATCTCCTGGTGTCAAAAAACCTACTGCACTGCAAATAACAACATGGTGCATGTGCAGCACATGCTTTGAGGTGCTGCAAACTGCACGTGTGCACCCATGAGGATGCACCCATAGTGTTTAAATATTTAATTCCATAAATTATATAGAGAATAGATTACTTCTTTGTCAGATCATAAAAAGTAAATTAATTAAATGAGCTGGAAAATTGGGGTAAATTTAATAGTTCATGATTCTTTGATTTCAATTTGAGGCTTAAAGACATGTGAATTTAATTGTGAAGATTTTTTTCTTATATTTAAGTATTGGCCAACAAATCACATGCTGGAACAGCATTCAGTCAGATATTAACCTAATACATCTAAACTCACCGCTTCCCAAGGTATGGGCACACCACTTAAGTTTAGCATTTTAGTTGGATTTGCCTCTAATTCAAATGCAGAGAGACACAGTTAGCCATGTTAGAAATCAAGCAGAAGGAAGGGTAGATTTGCAACATATACAATATATAAATCTATTTTAGTAAGTGTCTAAGGGCACATCCCCATGAGTGAGCATGTGTGGTCTGCACTGCCTCAAAGCTGTTTGAGGCACAACAAACCACATACAACACACATGCACCCATGCCCAGCACTGCTAATTTGCAATGCAGCAGTTTTTTTGATACCAGGATATCCTGGTAGGCAGCACATGGCAGCAGCATGCACCACCAGAAACCAGAGCCTGGCCAGCCAGAGCCATGCTTTGGCTGCTGGCCAGGCTCTGAGTGGCCAGCTCTGCAATGCTGCTGCCCAGGGAGGCTCCCAGGACCCCAGGTAAGGCTGCTGGGGCCAGCACAGGTGCTGGTGCTGGTGCTGGCCCCAGCTTCCCCTATCCCACCTTGGTCCCTCTGCTATGCGCCAGAGCCATATATGTGCAGCTGCTATTTGTCCCATTAAAAACATACACACTTGCATGTGCATGCTCTTGGGGACCCACCCTAAAGTGTTAATACAACCTGCCTTCAAATTCAACTGCCAGATTTCTTTACCCAAATTTTAGCTGCAATGTGAAAGAGACTTTATTAGAAAGTTATCTGAAAGAATTGTTCATGTTGAAGGACTATAGGCAATTTTTGTTGGAGGGAGAAGAGTTTAAAAAAATGGATGTTGAATATATATTTCACCTGCCTAGTTCTTTCATGTTTTCATTAGGTCTTCTCTCACACAGACTGTTCTTCTCCTTTCTTTGAGTTCACAAGGGGTCCATTCTCTAGGAAAATCTGGGGTTGGCCAGCTGCCACTCCTTTTGGGGATATGCCTCTAAAGCCTCCTGATTAGCATTTTTTTTTTCCTTCTCCCTCTCTCAGTCCTGCATAACTTCAGTGATGGAACATCACAGAGTCCATGATTCTTTCCTTAAAGGAAGGGATGAATTTAAAGAGTTTAGCAGTTTAACACATTAAACCTGCAAATGATCCTCTTCAAGTGGGGGGATCCACACAGTCCGATGGCATCACTGATTCCAAGGGAGTGCTCTGGATTTAACCTCTCCAGTCCTTAAGAAATAGAACCACACTTTGCCAGGAGGACCTAATTAAGAAGTGCTTTTTTTACATCACTGTAGTAACTTGAAATTTCCATTTTTCTCTCCCTTCCCCATGTGATCCGGCACCCACAGCTCTGTATAATAGCCTATTGGTATTGCCATGGCTGGGCAAGTTCTAGCATTAGGAGGAGCACCTGAATTCCCGGTCCTTTTGATCCAGGACCTGCACATAGATAACAGGGGGTTATATGATGATGTTCAGGACCCTGATAGATGTGGATAGCGAGCTTAAATTAAGAATTTGGGATTTGGACCTTAATTTACACTGACATGGAACTATTAAAAAAATCTCAGTTTCCCTGCACTCTTGTTGTTTGTTGCAGATACTGACATCCCTGAACTGTTTTTCTTATTTGACAGTCTAGGATACAAATATCAAATCTCTTCTTTTTCACTATTGCAGATTCTTACATTTCAACACCTAAATCCTTTTTGGTGAAAGCTCTTATTAGCCTTGATAGAGACCACTCTTGGCATAGCCAGACAGCTGCAGTCTGGAGCATCAAATCTCAGAGGACTCATTCCTGCCCTCAGTGGGCATGTCTACACGTGCGTTAATATGCTATGGTTACTGCACATGAAGTTTGTTACCTGTAATAACATGTACTAACTAAATGTGCGGTAACAGATACTACTGTGCAGAAGGGGTATGCAAAACAGGCTGTATTCAATTTGGATTTGGATTCGGCCTGAATTGGGGACAGTGATTCAATTTGCTGATTCGGATCACTGTCCCAATTCGATTCGGCTAAATCTGGCTCTGAAGATTCGATGCTGATTCAGAGAATCAGCGAGTCTGTCATAGACACGGCTTTAAATGTTTTTTCTACATGCCTCAAGGTACCAGGCATGGCTTGTGAATGCTGAGATGGTGGGGTGGATGGAGCATCCCACAGGAGTGTGGGGGGGCCCCCTGTGTGGTTGATGGTGAACCCGGAAGTGGATTGGAAGTACTTCTGGCTTGGTGATTGGCTACAGGGGGACCCCAGGTGCCCCACCAGACCCATGAGGCACCAGTTACTGAGCTGAGGGGGGGCCCCCTGAGAGCTCTCTGACAGACCAGGAAGTGGACTGGAAGTGCTTCTGGTCCACTTCCAGGTCCATGGCCAAGTGTGCTGGGGACCCCCCTGCACTCCTGTGGGACGCTCCATTTGCCCTAGCGTCTCAGCATTCACAAGCTGCCTGGTACCTTGAGGTATGTAGAAAAAAAATTTAAAGCTGTGTCTATGTCCAAATCATTTAATCTCTCCAAATCAATTTGGAGAGTTCTGATTTGATTTGGTGGGATTAAAGGGTCTCCCAATTTGAATAGGATTTGGAGATTCAGTTGCTGAAATGGGCCGAATCTCCATTGAATTGAATCAGAGACTGAAGCTTCACACAGCCCTACTGTGCAGTAGCACTGGCACATGCCTTTTTAGTGATGCTAATGCACAGTAGACTAATTCTGCTGCACATTAATGCAATAGCACATCTTCTTCCATGATGTACTAATGCAAAGTAGAATTAGTCTACTGCATATTTAGCATCTTCTGTAGACACACCCAGTTGGAGTTAAAAAAGTTGCTCTGCAACATCATTGTGCACCTGAACATTGATTGTGCTGGTTGTTTTATGCAGATAGATACACACTATACGGCGTGTTTGCAAAGGAGAGCCTTTCTAAAATTTGACTGTGAACCCTCTGGCTAGGGATAGAAATTATATATAAATTCATATAAGTGATGGGAAACTAGTTCAAATCTGTAACGCAGCAGAAGTTCAGTGCACATAAACTGCTTTCAAAGTGGCTTAAATTGGTTTAAGATAAACCTGGATGGATGTAGTATCAGACTTAACTGATTTAAGTTAAATAGGTTTACTGTATTGAACTTTTGTCCCAGATCCCCTCCAGGTTTGGGCCACTGCAGGGATGTGGTTGCATTTCTGGAATCAAAAATAAATGTCTGTTCACTTGTTGGGCACTGTGGCATTCCCTCCCTGCTCATCGGAGACCCCATCTACCTACTGGTGCCCTGGCTCATGCAGCCCTATACCAGCCACCTGGACCCCTGCCAGGCCCACTTTAACTGCTACCTGGTTCACCAAAAACAATGTCACAGCCTGCATGCTGCATAACATCTGTGAGGCCTGGGGGGAGCAATTTGGAAGGCCTGGGCAGAGGAGGTGTGGCATTTGGAAGATGCCTGCCAGCAGAAGCACCACCAGTGGCAGTGGCAACAGTGCCCCCCAACCCAACCAAGGCCCCAGGATTACTGTGTACCTGCCAGTGGGGGCTAGGGCACTGGGTGTGGAATGTGTTGACGAACCACCTCTTCCAGCACTCATCGCTCTAGCCCACCTGCACTGCTGCCCACAGACCCCCCACGCCCCCTGCCCACCCTTAGCACCATGCTCACTGCAGACACGTCTCAGAAAAACAAGTTTTTATTCCCCTTACATCAACCAGAGTCTCTCTCTCTCCTCCCTCCCCAACAGAGCCACCTCCCCACTCAATGAACAGAATCTTTCCACCACCCAATCCACCCCCAACAATATTAAACCATGTTCTGGCTATTTGTCCACAGGTGTGCATGTCATGGTGAATGCG